ATTACACCTTATTCAAAATCAATGTGGTCCCACGGCCCTCTGTGGCCCAAAGTTAAAAACTGTTGTTCTTTCGAGGCCCTCAAGGTGGCGCTGTGGGCCGCGGCCCATAGGTTAACAGTCTCTGCTTTAGAAGACACCTGGAGCTGGAGAGGGGGGACTGAGACACCCCACCATTGTTGGGCCTCTGCACCTCTGAGCAGGTCACTGATCTGTTAACGTCTGAAAAGGTGGGCCGGTGTAGTCCTGACTGATGCCTTCAAGGACCCTCAGCTCTGGGTCTGCCTGGACCTCCTAACCAGTGGGGTGTGTCCAGAACCCTTAGAGGGGGGTGTCCTGATCTGATGAACCTGTGACTCCCTGTGTTACACAGGAGCAGCTCAGTTACAAGACCCCGAGATTTTATTGTTTTATTTCTTTCTGCATGTTTGAGGCAGCTGGAGGATTGTCTCACACAGTTTAACTATCATCTGCAGTGAAATAAGCTTTTTGTCTCCTTTTCTTTTAAAAACACAAAATAATCCAGTTTTCTCACATTAAAGCTGTTTGACCACATTTGTAGCATGTAAATAAAACAGTAGAGTGTTTCTGCCAACAGCCTTTCTTACACTGAATAAATGATTTGTTTAAATGATAGAACAGGACAGATAAAGGCTGAGTTTGTTAACAGACTGGCTCGTAACTCAACCAGTTTGTATTTGGGCCTAAATTGGCAGATAGTTATCTTCTAACAGCTTCACTGTGAGCAACACTCTCTTCAATTACACATCCACTTTAAAGAGCAGACAGTTTAAAACAATGTTGGTCACTTTATTTACACTCTAATGTTTACAGACTTTAACACTTTTGTTTTCTAGTTGCACAGAGACTGAACAGTTTTCTGTATTTAAAGGTGGATTTATGAGACCTTGGATAATCGTTATGTTTCAGACGAGCAGATCTGACAGATCACATCGTTGTTGTTATAATAAAAATACCTCTCAGTGCATTGTTTAGGTACTTTAGGTAGGTTTAGTACAGAGTCAAGTGTACGTAAAAAAAAACTTAAAAAGTGAATTTTGCATATTAAGTCCCCTTTAAAGGGATCCCCAATTAGTTGTAACATTAGACTTTATTTAATAAACATTTTTTTAAATGTAAAATAAAGACTGTAAAAATACTGTAGGATATTTAGTTT